GCAGCGCGGCCAGCTGGCCACCCGTCGCGATGAGCACCTCCGCCGCGCTGCTCCTCGAGCGCCGCCTCACGCCTCGCCCGGCGCCCGGGCCGAGGAGCTCAGCGGTGGGGACGCCATCGACGCGGAGAGCGTCGGCCGCGTCGCGTGTCTGCAGCGCGAGCTGGTGCGACGGCACCACCACGAGCACTTGCCTGGGCACGCCGGGCCGACAGCGCGCGAGCAGCGGCACCAGGCAGGCGAGCGTCTTGCCTGAGCCGGTCTCCGCGTGCACGGCGACGCTCTCGCCGGCAAAGATGCGCGGCGCGGCCGCGCGCTGGATGGCCGACGGGTGGCGCAGGCCAGCGCTCTCCAACCCACGGGCAAGGGCGGCAGGGAGGCGGACGCCGAGTCGTTCCCAGCCCACCATATATGAAGAATTCTTAAGATACAAGCCTCTCTATATGAAGAAAACCGTGCCGGCGGCCTCGTGTGGCGAAAATCCGTGTTGTCGCGCCAACAGCCCTTCTTCTCCGTGGTTGTCGCAACAGTGGTGGCGGCGGTGGCGGCGGTGGCGAATCCAGCGCAAGAGGCGAGCTTTTCTCGCGACAACACAACCCGGCCCAAGACGCACAACTCACATGGTGCCATTCCTGGTCTGAGTTCTTCATTTTGGACCCGGCGTATGTCAGACTGGGTTCGGGCTCCATAGCCGGATAGGGTGTGTGAAGCCCACATATGCGGCCACGCGCAGCGAAGCGAAAAATGGGGAAACAATGTACGGAGCGGCCGCACATTGCTCGGTACCCCCCCTGCACATCTAAAGTCATCCCTGCTGCTAGGGGGGGGGGTCTGACCCCCCCAGCAGCAGAGCGCTGCTGCTGGGGGGGGGTCCCGACCCCCCCAGCAGCAGAGCGCTGCTGCTGGGGGGGGGGGTCCCGACCCCCCCAGCAGCAGAGGGCATATTGGACCCAGCTCTCCCGGCTCCCGCCTCTTCGCCGCCGCCGCCCCCTCCCACCTCGACTCGTGTTTTAGCGGTACGCTCGAGGCGGCTGTGTTCACCGCGCCTTCGAGCCCAATACACCTTCGTCGTGTCGAGTGGGTCTCCGAGTGCTGGCGTATTACTAAAGACTTGTGACCATGTGAGTCTATCTTGTACTACCACACTAAAAACCGTATAGTGAGCCACTCACTCGGGCGTCTCGGCTGACGATGATCGATCAGCGTTGATCTCTCTAGCCTATCGGTCCCCCGCTCGATCCTCGGATCGCTCGCTCGTCGAAATCGATCGACTGAGCTTAACGACTTTTTTTTTTTCGAAACGCGCGCGCGGCCCGTCGCGCGGCAAAACTGTCAGTTCCGCCGCGACGCGTCGCCGCAATGGCGGGCAGCGACGTGGTGGAAGCCATGCGGCTCGCCCTCAAGCCATTTAATATCCAGCACCTCGCCGAGGACTGGAACGCTAACCGTACTTACTTACAGCTGTCGGTACAGAGATGCCAGCACCCCCTAGCAGCAGAGCGCTGCTGCTGGGGGGGGGGTCCCGACCCCCCCAGCAGCAGAGCGCTGCTGCTGGGGGGGGGGGGGGTCGGCATGACTTTAGATGTGCAGGGGGGGTACCGAGCAGTGTGCGGCCGCTCCAAT